TTAGAATTTCTGTTTGGCTGCTCTTTGGAGCAAGAGGTAAACTCCGAAGCTGCTGACAATGACTACTTTCACCATGTGGAAAGAGTAAGAGTAAAGGCCATCTGTATGACCAGACAGAAGCAGGGAGGAGGTGACAAATGAGGGCTTCCTGAGTTCCATAGGGCCTTCCAGTCCCTGGCCTCTGTGGAGGACCAAGGCTGCATCCTAGAGCCCCTGGGATCCATACATCAATCTCTTAAATTCTTCTTTCTTGACTAAACCACCTGAAAAGAATTTCTGATATTGATAACCACAGGGGCCTTAATTAAAACTGTTCATAAAGTCAATTTGGGGGTGTTTCTCCTCTCTACATCAACATACCTCGAAGATTAAACTCACCTTAAAGCTTTATCCTACTCAAATTTACCTGTGTATTAGTCAGCTTTCCATTGCTACAACAAAATACCTGAAGCTGTGGGTACTTTATAAGGAAAAGAGGTTTAGATAGCTAACAGTGTGGGAGGTTCAAGGGCATGGTGCCAGCACTGGCTCAGCTCTGGTAAAGACCTCAAGGGAAATAGCATCGTGGCAGGAGTGTGTGAGAGAAGGGAAAAAAAATTACATGGCGAGGCAGGAAGCCAGAGAGAAACCAGAGAAGGGCCAAGCTTTCTCTTCTATAACAACCTCTCTTGACAACTAACCAGCTTCCCATGAGAACTACGTCACTCCCTTTCAAGAGCACGCCTCCGATGACCCAAATACTTCCCACTGTAAGTTCCCATGATTTCTTAACATCGCCACACTGAGTACCAAGCTTTCAACACACACGTGTCTCTGGGGGACACACTCAAACCATAGAAACTTAATGCCTCATAGTGAAAACTCTACCTTGTGTAGGTGACACCAAGAACCCTACATCACTATACATTTTAAACCCAGGGCCTGCTTGGATTCCTATACAGGAGGCAATTATAATTTATATTCCTTTCCAGAATCAGGCAGGGATAAATGAATATAATCTGGAAATGAATAAAAATCCATTTGGTGTGCACAGAAATAAGAACACCAATAAATTTGTCTCAAATTAAGGTCTAACATGAAATTTTATTTACCATGTTAGAGAAAATTAGATGCTTAATTTTTCATTAATGTTTCTGAATAACTCCAGGCTTTCTACCTCTTATTTGTAATGGAATTCTTATTTTTAAATGGCAACCTTATCTGCTACCTGTAGGCTTGCCCGACTGTACCTGGTATGTTGTACACATGCATTCCCATGGAAACACGTGACTCCCCAAAGGGGCCATTTCTTTATCTCTTTTCATCTAGCTACTTCTCTTAACGCACAAGAAAGTGGATAAGAGGTTGTGTCCGTTTCAGCATTACATCACAACTGTGATCACACACATGACATAAGTTTGCAATGTGGCCAGGTGTTGCAAAATCAGAACTTAAACGTGCCTTGAATAGCTCACACTGTGTAGTGTTCTATATCTCCGGTACTGAACCTTGGAGCTTAAGATCTTGGCCTCCTTAAAGGGAGACTGCTGGGAATTATCTCTGGCAATCACCCGCTGATGATTTTGGCTGCCTTGGGTCACATAAAAACAGGTAGTCACAGGCGTCCAGTGGTTTCCTCGGGGTGGGTTGCTTTCTTTATGGTAATCAATTTACTGGGCCCAGCTGTCAGGCACTCAACTTCTCAATTAACAACTGGAAGTAGAACTTGAACCACAGGAAGGAAGAAAACTCAGATTTTCCCAAACACACAGTTAATGAAAAAGTGAGCCTTGTCTCCAACTCATCTGTGTTTTTCCTGTAGAACATAAATGTCAATTTGGAAAACCACGTACCGACAGAGGTTTCTCTCCATAGAAAGGTCTCCCATGACATTTGACTGGGCCACGTGCCAGGTAACCATCTTTATGGAGTTAACAGAAGTTAATTTAAAACTGGACATGGAGCAGCCCAAGTTGTTGACTAGTTTCTTCTTATGGATTCGATGGAGAGACTGAAACGGTTTAAACCTTAGGGCACAGCTTCTAGTCTAACAGAGAAGAAAAATCCTTTTGTTTCGCCTCTTAGAAATTCCTTGGGTCAAAAGTGAAACATGGTCCCATGCGTTACCCTTGCATCCTACGTCCAATGCGTGGGGTGCACTGTGGTCCCCTCTTAGCCACAGTTTTAGTTACCTTTAGGCAACTGTGTTCCAAAAATATTAAATGAACAATTCTAGACACAGGCAATTCATAAGTTTTACATAACTTCTATTATATATTGTTAGAGTTACCCTATTTTATCAGTTATTTCTAATCTCTTATTGTGCCTACTTTACAAATTAAGCTTTATCATTGGTACTTGTCTATATATAGAGAAAAAGCAGTATTAGGGTAGGGTTTGGTACTAGCTGAAGTTTCGGGTATCCACGAGGGGTCTTGGAACATATCTCCCTGAGGTAAGAAGCGACTGCTGTACTTCTCTGATCCAACTCTTCCTGATCAAATGATTTCCCCCAGGACGATAGAAGGGAATAAACAAGGGACTGTCATTCACCGGAAAGCGTACAGCGGGCACTGAGGTCTCAGCCGAGGTGAAGAGGAGCACCCTGGACTAACAGACAGAGACTCTGGACTGAATGACTACTCCTGTCTAGAAAGGGACAAGAATGATTGTGGAAAAGGAGGAGGATCTGAAGACACTGACCAATCCTTTACTTCAGTTTCTTTCAGGACAGGAACAGTGAAATTGTTAAAATTCCAACTTGAAGACAAAGAGCATATGATATATCTTTTTTCCCTAACATCTTCCTTTTTGCAAGATTGATTGACCTATCAGTGATTAGAAACTTTACTATCCACTTTCAACCTAATAAAGGGTTAGTCTTCTTTACCTTGGGTCTTAGGAATGAAAAGACACTTGTTTCTAAGCCACACACCTACACCTAGCACTTCAGAGTGCTGTAGTCCTAAGCCCCAAGCACAGTCGCTCAAATGGATCTCCAATGACCATGGCATCTACAGGGTATGGACATACTTCTTTGGCCGATGTGTCTTATACATAGAATGCTAGAGAATTCTTTCAGGGCAAAAAAAAAAAAAATAGTTGTCAGTCTTAAAACGAGTTTTCATTTCTGCATCATGAAGCAGGGGCAGATGCCCTTTAGAACATGATGATGCCATCCATTCCACTATTACCAAGGCCCGTGATAAGTCAGTGTGCACATTTAGAAGGGCCACTGCTGCCCACATATATCATTCAACGTTCATGGCTGCACAACTACATTCTACTTGGGGCATCTCATAATTACCTAGGAGATTATTTCATATTCCAGTATCTCTAACTACATCATTCATAAAGATTAAGATAAAACATTTTCCATAAAGAACATCTTTCCTGAAATCTCATTTTTGCGGATTATCTCATTATTTAGCGGATTATTTTTATTATTAACTGGGTCACCCCAGTCTGCTCACAAAGCCAGCTGCATAGGAGACTCTAAAATAAATATATTATACAGCAGAACCTTACCATCAGGAGAGGGAACAGGGTCACTGTGGGGCGAGGCTTCAAGTCACTGTAAGGTGAAAGCTTGTACCATGGGAGAAGCGAAATCAGAGCTGTGTGATCTCTTTGGATTGATCAGATGAACAGCAGAGGGATTATTCTACGTCACTGAGATATCTTGACACAGGGAGAGGGTTGAAATAGACTAAACTGTGTTAGCTTGAACATCGCTGTTTAAAACTTCCAGCTTTGGGAAATCTGCAGACCTTGCTAAACCTCCTATCTACGTGGGAGGAGCTACATTATCATTGTAGAGTTTAGCAGAAGCGGGTTACTACAAGGATGTCACAATTCCATCATGCTTCATCTCTAACAAATCACGTTCCCCTGGAGTTCCGGCGTGCTTTGAATTAACATCAAAGACAAGAATTCTTAACCCCACCAACTGGCAAATATAGGAATTTCAACAGTTCTGATATAATGACTCTAAGTAAATCACTATTAATTTCTTACTTTCCAACCTACTAGTCAAGCAGAAATGCAGTCAGAGTTGCTGATGAAATTACAGATCACAGAGGAGGCTCTCTAATGCATTTCTTGCTTTCATCCTCCAAGCAAGGCAAGTTCCAAACTAAAAACAGCTTGGATTCATATTATTAGCATTTTAAATATAGCCTCTAAAAATTACCTTTAGGAGGCAGTGAGTTAAGGATGGGATAGGACTTGACAAGGATTATTATTGATAGAGCTTATCTTTCTGTGTTCTGAAAGTCACACCTTGGCATTTGAAAGACATAAAATATATATATTTTTTTACCTGTTGTGGAGAAGATGGGACAGATAGGAGACTGGTTGTCGAGAAATCCAAAATGAATGGGTTTCAAATTAACCCATTATTTTTTCAAAATAACCCATTTAATCCTACATGCAGCAGGCTGAGATTACATTTAAATGCTAGTAAAGAATTATTCATTCATCTTAAGAACAGGCTAATTATTGTAATATTCCATTATGAAATTCTCTGCCCATAAAATCTCCTATTGCTACTCTATTGGCAATTACTTCAAGTGCCATCTAGACTGTCTATGAAGTTAAGAAAAATACTTTCAATGATCCTTAAAGAATATGGTATAAATACACACACACACACACACACAAATGCAAGGTCCTCTATTAGGAAAGAAGAGATAGTTTGATCAATTAACAGAAGTGCTGTGAATGTCATTAGAATCCATTTAAAAATTATGGCCTACATCATCTTGGAAACCAGCAGTGGTTTCCGACCATTTGCAGAAAAATAAGACTGCATGTAATAAGATAGGTATAGAACTAATGGAAACAAACACACGCAGACACACAACACAGGAATTTCAGCCAAATCATCTGATCATTCCTTAATTCACTGCAATCATGCGATACTGTCACCATCAGGTTAATTATAAACCATGCAGGAAGCAGTCCAGTCGGATTGCAAGTCAAAGGGTCAGAATGTGAGCGTTGTAGAATAAATCAGGTACCTGAGAGTTTCATGAGAAGTTCAGACGCAGCTTTGACTGACATATCCCGCCTCAACACATTCCCCTTCCCTTCCTGGGGCTTTAGTGTGTCCTCGGAGATGCTTTGGGCTGCCACTTCAGGTTCTGGGTTGAACACATAGCTGGGCCGAGGCAAGGCCGTGCTTAGGGCTTCCTCTTCCTTGGGCTCCTCTTTCACTTTAAAGTTAAGATTCATGGGTTCCTTCTGATTTGCAGCTGTCAAAAAAAAAGGGGGGGTTATATATGTGTGTGTATATGTATGTATGAAAGGCTTTCCCCCCACCCCAAGCTGCCCGTTAACTTAATGAAGTATGGAATGTACAATCACCTTGTGCTAAGAGCAAGAGGGACCACGATCGGACCAAATTAGGCTGAGCCCTGAGCTCACAATTATAGATGCACCCCTTGCGCCTGGACTTCTGAAAGGTGTGGGCTTCAGATTCTTTTAAACCAACAGTATTTTAAGAAGTGCCATCTCTACCAAGCATTGGGGCATTTTCTTTTTGGTTTTTCCTAAGTATCAGGAAGATACTGTCTGTGTCATTCCCTTCCTGACCTATTAGCAATCTCCCCCGCCTAATCCTATTACAGAATAAGGCTTTTAGCAATTATTCTGCCATCAAATATTGAATAAAAACATGAGTCAGAGGCAAGACCCAAAGCCAAAACCGGGGGTGGGGTGGTAAGGTGAGGACGCAGAATTTGCCAATAAGAAAAGCTCAGGCGAGAGAGACACCACTCTTGCCTTATTATAAGCAGACACTACTGACCCCTCCGCGGTGGGGCATGTACTTGGCACTGTGCTTCTGGTCACTGTGAATAAATCTATGTCTTTAGTCCGAGTCATCTTTGCATAACAAATGGACTTTTGGTTTGGTTTTGCTTTTAATTTTGAAATCATTTTAGATTTATAGAGAAGCAGCAAAGATGGTTAGAGAGTGCTCACATGGCCTTTGCCCAACATTGCCTAAGGCTGACATCTGACCTAACCTCTGTACAGCTGTCAGAACAAAGACATCCACATTACTGTGATCTCAACTCCAGATTTTATTCGGATTTCACCAGTTTTTCCACCAGTGTCCTTTTCCACTTTGGGCATGGCTGGTTGGTGTGGAGCACATGGTCAGGCTAACTTGCTTGTTATGGGATGGAGTCTGAGGCTCAGCTCTTCTGTGCCAGGCCTTCCCCACTGCGCTGCACACATGGGAACAACCAGAGGGAAGAGGACAGCTCCCTCTTGTACTGCTTTCTGTCGTCACTAGGTTCCCGCAAAGGACCATGTAGTAGGAACTTCGGTTGCTTATACCAGGTGTGCTTGTCTTTTCAAAGAGAGGATCTTGTCCTAACACAGAATTCTTAGTAATATCTCTTAGAATGATCCTCAAACCCATTCCATCGTAATAAACCAAAAGATGAAAATGAATCTCCAAAGCAAGCATCCCCCGCCCCCCCCTCCCCCGGCCAATGCACAACACATGGTCCTTTCTTCCCCCTCTTAGGCCCCTCCAGTGTTTTTGGAAACTGGACCCCAGAGGTTTAAAGTCACATTCACAAGTTTCACTACCAGAAACAGATGCAGAAGTGAGATCAGAACCTAAGTCCATGAACTGCCCACAACATGTCCCTTACCTGCCTCCACCACGCGGGTCCTCTACCTGTGGGGGCTGTGCTGTACCCAAAGTCAAAAAATATTTCACTTTCAAACCTTTGCTCGAGTACCACCTGTTCAATGAGTTTTACTCTGATCATCCTCTCAAAATTACAGCCCCCATCCCCACCTTGCACCCAGTCTTTCTTATCCTACAGTAAATATTTTATGCTCCATAATACGGAGCTGCCACGGACTGCACGGTGTCCCCCACTAAATGCACATGTTGAAGCCCTAACCTTGCAGGGTGAACATGCTTTGAGTTATGGGCCTTCAGGGAGGTAATTAAAGTTGAATGAGGCTGTAAGGGTGGGGCCCTAATCCAATGGCACTGGTTCCCTGTAAGCAGAGAAAGACACCAGCAAGGTACATGCACAGCAGAAAAGCCCTGTCGGGACATGTGAGAAGGGGACCATCCACAAGCCAGGAAGAGAAGGCTCAGAAGAATCCAGACCTCCCAACAACTCCACCTTGGACTTCCAGCCTCCAAAACTCTGAAGAATAAATTTATAAGATATCAGCCTGCAGTGTTTTGTCGTGGCAGCCTGAGAAGAGAAATCGCATACTGTATCATTTTCTCAATTTGTTGTTAACTACTTAACGTCTGTTCCCTCAACTCCAAGGCAGGCTTCATGATGGTGACAATCATTCTAATGCGGATGTCAAGTGCCCAGAACAGTGGCTGGCACATCAGAGGGGTGCAGTAAGTACTCTTTGAGTGAATAAAATACTTCTTTTAGCAATTATTCTGCCATCAAATATTGAATAAAAACATGAGTCAGAAGCAAGACCCAAAGAAGTGGCGTCTGATGGGCTTCCAGTATTACTTGTGGGAAACAAAAGTTAAGAACTCTAGAATATCCCACGGGAATCAACCGGAAGGGCTTTCCCCTGGATCTGCTCATTACCTGGGGATGAGATCTTTGGGATGAAGTTAAAAGCTTTGTTACTGAGACCACACCACATAGCGAGATGTCTCCCATCCAATCCCTTGGCCTCTAGCATTTCTAAAGAGGGAATCCAGAACATTTCAAGGCAAATGCCTCTCATCCAGCCATTTGGGGGCAATGCCACTGAAAGCTAAGCCAAAAGGAACAATTCTCAAATATATACTTCCAACCCCAACCAGGAGGTCGGCTTAAAGACTCCGCTTACTTAGTGTATTTCTTCCCTGTGCACTTTTTAACCACTTCCCCGGGGGTTTTGCTGATGGCACACCTAGACTTTGCCCTTTCTTCTGCGACCTTGGTAAGACCCTTTTCCAGGAGCATCCTAGTCACGACAGAGTGTGTGTATTTATCAGTGTGTATTTATTTACTTCTGTGACTTTGGTTCCTTGGGAAGGAATAATTTAAAGTGAATGGTTAACATTAAAACAAACAAACAAACAAACAAACAAAAACGCTTCTACACTGTTATCTTTTATTTAAAAACATTTTAACCTTTCAAGATAAGGCTAGGACAGACAGAAAAAGCTGAGGCCCTGGAAGCAAATCCCAGCTTGCAGAGAAGGCAAACATGAGGTGGATAGTCTGGGAACATATAAATGGCTTCTCAGAGCACTGGTCAGAATACATGCTCTATGAGACTTAAGGGGAAAAAGACACTCGGCATGGTGAACAAGACCTGGAGTTAACAGAACTTCAATAAGACACTTCAAAAAACAACAGGCAGCTCCACGTGGTTGGATTACCAGCTTGCAGAGCACGATACACCTGGTTTTTATGCTGACAACATCAAGAAGGGCATAAAAGTGTCAGGTGCTGAGAAAATGTAAATATAGTTAATGATATAACAGAAAAACATGTGGGTCTAAATAGAAAACGTAAAAATAGAAATATGAAGGCCAGCCTGCTTTCTTTCAGTTGCCAAAAATATTTACATTGAGAAGAGCACATATAGCCATTTTTAAAAAAATTAATATGACTGAATAATTGCCATCTTTTAAATTATTCTAGTTTTAACAAAAACCTACACGTGTAGAGCAGGGTGAAATTAAAGATGCTTTCTTTTCCTTGTGGGAAATTGCTAAGAGAAAAGCAACAATTTATGAATCATTGCGTGGTCCTTACTTCATTCCTACTCCTCACACAGAAAGATCTGTGCACATATGGATCGCAGCTCACAAAGGGCCTTCACAGCACCTGCCTCGACTTCTGTTTATGTATCTTAAAGTTGCCAGACGCTCCACTTTTAAGGCAGAGAGGAAGCCCCGCTAATCAAGAGGCCCTGTCTCTCGTTGTTTATTCCAAACATTTTAGGAGCCGAGCCACTCTGATTATAAATTATGTACATCTGTAAGTTCATGGGCTGGATGGAGCTGGGCTGTCATTTAGGGGAAACAGATTGGCTTCGATGAGGATTTATAAACGATTCAAGATAAAGACAAATGCAGGAAAGGATTGGGAAAACCCCCAGAGAAAACGATTTCAACTGTCCAATTCTAAAAGGTCGGTATGAATGAGTACAAAAGAACTCCCTCCTTACAGAAGGTGCCATAGGTCCAAGGGAGATCCCCCTAAGCCTCCTCTCCCCCAGAAAACTCTATTAACATCCTTAGAGACCATTTCATAGATAAGAAAACTAAGATCCTGAGAGTTTAACAGATGGATAAATGAATCAGAGCTGGTACATGCAGACCCCAGGCTCCAGCGCTTCCAGGTAAAAATGCACCCAAGCCCTTTCCTTCCTCTCCAAGATGCCCGAGACCTTTAAGAAGCATGCTATCTTAAGCAGCTGGAACATGGGATTTGGAAAATAAGTGATATGGGGTGAATGAGGTGTCATTATTGAGAAAAGGAAGGTGAGCTCAGGGTGTCACCTGAAGGGAAGGGGTGCTTTTAGGTAGGAAGGAATCTTGTGCAGATTTGACTGTGAGGAGGAAGAGAAGACAGAAAGTTTTCTGACCCATCCTCTTGATTCCCTTTGGTGAAGGAAAATGATACCTTCCCTTGGGATCAAGAAGACAGAGCTCTTGTTCAGTTTATAGTCTGGCACTTTGGTGAATACTGAACTACTCTGTGAAAAAGCAAGGCCGTTGAGAACTATATTCACTACCTCACCCTAAACCAGAGCCAGGTTCTTGGACCTGGAGGGGACTGCAGAGCAATGATTTTCAAATGGTGTTCCAAGGAACCCCATGATATGCTACAGGGGTTCCAACAAATGTACATCTCAAATTCACCAGTAGTGCACACCTAAAATGCCAACTCCCTGGAGTCCACCAGTGTGTTAACTTGTGTTGATGAGTTAATTTGGTTTTGTGTAGCCCTTGTAATGCAGTTTCTCCTGTCATTTGGGAGTGTTAAATTTCTAGTAATTCGTTATTAATAAGGAAGTGGTTGGCTTTCCACTGATCTTTCGAAAATATCCAGGTCTATGCATGTGTGTCCACGTAACATTGTACAGTTACGGAACTACCAGAACCTATATGCAGCCCTGAAGCCCTTTTCTCAACTTTTGTGCCACTGACATTCTGGATTGAATAATTGGTTTGGAGGGGGACCGTCCTGCACATAGTAGAATGTTTCCTGGCATCCTTGGCCCCTACCCACTAGAGGCCAGTAGC